TGAATTTATATATATATATATATATATATATATATATATATATATATATATATATATATTGTTTCAATATAATAACTTTTTAAAATATTACTCGATTTTAATTTAACATCAGTTAACATTTAATGTATATTTAAATAATGTAGCATCCAGGTCTGGTGTGGAAGGGCCACTTTTCACAATACAATCAATTCCTAGAAAATATGATTGAAAATGTAGATGGATACAAGTTCAATCCCATCCAAGATTTATTATGTTTCAATATTTTCTTTCACTTGGAAATACAGCACAATACAGAAGTAAAATAGCTTTCCAGTGCTGTTTAAGGTTTACTTTATGCATAAGTTAGGCCAAACTTTTAAACAACTAATATCACAGCCTTGTGGTTTTGTATTGCAGAAGTCTGGCGTGGTGGAGTCGAACCCCCTGCGTCCGGCTGCGGGCCAAGAGCTTGAGTTCTTATTACAGGAGAGCTGTAGTTTCATTGTCCTGGACCAGCCCATCTCTCTGGACCGCCTGCAGTTAAAGAACATAGACCAGCTCAACGCCACAGGTGCTGACAGCACGCACAGACATACCATACTCTTTGGATTGAGATCATGTTGCAGTTGTTATGTAATTAATTATTTAGTAATACAGACATTTCCATTGAGGATGGATCAACCCATGTGTGATCAGCACTGATATAAACACTGAAGTTCTCACTGATTGACTGACATTTTATCTCTGAATGTTTCAGCATCTGGTCTGCCCAATTCCTTCATAATAATGCACCAGAATCGTTACCAGCAATGCATCGGAGTCTTCATTCTGCAAGCCCAGACTGAATCTGTGAAGGTGAATCCTGAATCCTGCTAATGTGTTTTCAAAGACCCATGCTTTGATTTCCACCCAACACCCATAATTCACAAACTTAACCAGTGCTGACATGTCAAACATCCTCAGGTTATTCAATTTTAGTGTCAATTTGACATTACATTACATATTCATTCTGGAAGAAAAAAAAAAGATGGTTTACAAAAAAATATTAAGCAGCACAACTGTTTTCAACTGATAATAATAAGAAATGTTTCTTAAGCAGCAAATCAGCATATTAGTATGACTTCTGAAGGATCATGTGACACTGAAGACTGGAGTAATGGCTGCTTACAATTCAGCTTTGATCACAGGAATAAATTACAATTTAAAATATATTCAAACAGAAAACATTTATTTTAAATAGTAAAAATATTTCACAATATTTCTGTATTTTTTATCAAATAAATGCAGTCAAGGTTACATATAAATAACATAAAAGATTGGCAATAAAATCTAACAGTGGTATTATAAACTTGGCTTTTAGCTCAAATCACACAAAAACAGTCTTATTCAGGCTGTATGTTGTGTGTGTTTCAGAAAGCGTGGGTGTCGGAGATTGAGGATGCCATCAGTTCCCTGCTGAAGCAGGACTGTCAGCAGCCGCGAGTCAGGAACTCTTTTCTGGAGTCTTCACAGATCTAATTTATTCAGAGACTTTCTAGAGAACTTCTCCCAGAGCGCCAGTGAACCACCGCAGCGCACAAAGGCATTTCATGTAGTTTAAAGGAAAAGTTTGCCCCAAAATGAAAATTCAGTCATCGTTAATTCACCTCATGTCATTCCAAACCTGACTGGCTTTTACTAGAATGTCTGAACTGTTCTTTTCCATACAACAGGACTGAAGCTGTCAAGTTTGTAAAAGGACAGACATCACCATGAAAGTATTCAAGTCTTCTATATGACTCGCATTGTGCAAAAGTCACTTTTGATTATGTCCTAGAGAAAGTCATAGGGGTTTGAAACAACATTTTTTTGTTAAAAATGGAAATACATCAACATTGTTCCAGTGGTGACCCTGAGCAGTTTGCACTTTTTAATAATTTTTGGAGAACAGAATGTTGCACATTCATAACACAAAAAAATATGCTGAATTTGCGTGTCAGAGAGTGACACTGTGTATTGTGGGGAAACTTAAATGCTTAGATAAAAGAACCTACTGTATGTGTTGTAATACAGTGTGTAGGTTAGCAAAACTCTCATTTGTATAAATTACAATTTTCTTTAAAACAATATTATGCACTGCCTTGTTTCGTGAATAATTTACTTGGTTGACCATGAAAAATAAAATATTAAGTTGTTTTTATACATCACGAACAAAGTATTTCATTTTAAAGTTTAACCAGGACACCAGGAAAACTAAAACAAGTAATAGTTTTTGGTATTTTGAATTAAAACTGAAATAAAATAGAATTATTAGATGAAAAATGTATTTTAGTTAGTTGCCAACACAAAAGATTAAGTTCTAAAATGTTTTAAAAAACAAATACGACCAAAGCACACAACAAAATTGACAAATTTAAACTTAAATTTAACCTGATATTAAAAATAAAACAAATTTAATACATAAATTCAACAGTAGTATATAAACAATACTAAAATTACACAGCAGGACAATGAAAGAAAATAGAAACAGCTAGTTTATTGTTTACTCTTAAACATGATGGAAAATTTGAAAACATAATACTTCTGAACATTTTTTCCTCCATAACAACAAAACATCTCAGGTAATGAAGTAGTTCAGCTGTTCTTCATTTGAGTCAGGACCTTCCGGCAAACAAACCAATTAACCTGAAATCACTGTCAGTATGTGATATCTTACACTTTTTAAAAAAAATGTATTTAGTATATTCTGATTGATTTTTTCATCCATTTCTGATACTGCTTTCATATCACACATATGTAGGAACCTGCTAAATGAGTTAACATGTATTTGATAGGCTTTGCCTGTTAAGATGTGTCTGCATTGAGTGATAGAAACAAAACTTGACATAAGGCACACAAACACATTACCACAACATGAATGTGAACACCCTGCTGTTCAGCACATGGAAATATGAGCCAATCAATAATAATAATGCATGACAACCATATAACAGGTACTGTTAGTGAGTAGTTCTGATGCAAAAACCTACAAGTGATGCACTTTGCATATGCGGTCACAAATTAGCTTTATTTGCAAGCTGCACAACCTGCTTTTCTTCTGAATGTGCACCAACGCACAGCTAATAATTACAGCACTGTTGTCAGATGGAGGGTTTTGACCAGTTATATGGCACTGAGTGGCATTTATCACTGTTGTTGACTGCAGCATACATTTCATCCACAATCAAGTTAAAGGGCTAATATTCATATAATATTACATTTTCTGAAATCATGTCACATGACAGAGTTGGTGATGAGCGCAAAACATCCTGAGACATTAATGATTCTTCCTGGGATACCTACGGATCATTATGCACCTGGATCCATCTACCCACACAAACAGGAAGTAAACAATACCCCAGAATCACACTGACAGCAAACAGTGCCATCAATGCTGCAAGTCGGCGTTACAACCTATTAAGCAGAGCGAAAACATCAAAACATGGCTACTGGATAAACCACATACAGTGAAGCTTACTTTACAGCAGTTAGTTGCACTCGCTCGCATTTAGCTCTACACTAAGCGCTTACAATGACGCTCTGACCATCTGGCCACACTTTCAGCTTCTAATATTGGAATAGTTAACCAAAAAAGTGAAAATTGTGTCATTTCCTCACCCTCATGTCGTTTCAAACCTGTATGACAGGAAGATATTTTGAAAAATGTCTGTTTTTTTGTCCATACAGTGAAAGTCAATGGGGTCCAAAAGAATCCTTTTTGGACCCCATTGACTTTTACTGTTTGAACAAAAATAAAATGGATGTCAAGGGGAACGGAAATAGTTCGGTCATCAACATTCTTCAAAATACCTTCTTTTGTAATCTGCAAAACACACAAAGAAAGCAAGACTTATAAGAAGATATTTCAAAGAATGTCAGTAAATAGTATCAGTTCCCACTGACTTCCAATGTATGGTACATTTTTGTCTATCAATATTCTTCAAAATATCTTGTGTTCTGCTAAATCAACAAAGACAACAAGATATTTTGAAGAATGTCAGTAAATAAATAGTTTCGGTTCCCATTGTATGGACAATTTTTGTTTGTTTGGCTCTCAATATTCTTCAAAATATCTTGTGTTCTGCTAAATAAACAAAGACAACAAGATATTTTGAAGAATGTCAGTAAATAAAGAGTTTCGGTTCCCATTGTATGGACAATTTTTGTTTGTTTGGCTCTCAATATTCTTCAAAATATCTTGTGTTCTGCTAAATAAACAAAGAAAAGACGACAAACAATATTTTGAAAAATGTTGATAGCTAAACAGTTCCCACTGACTCACGGTATGGACAAAAACACAATGGAAGTCACTGTTTGCTTCTCAACATTCTTCAAAATATCTACTTTTCTGTTCCGCAAAAAGTTTGTCATGTTTGTAAATGGTGAAAACTGACATTTTTAGGTGAACTACCCCTTGAAGTCTAAATTGTTGGCTCGCAGCGTTGAGTTCGCTCAGTAGCGTAGATGCCATGAATGAGAGAAACTGCTCAAGTTGAAGAGAAATGTAGCAGCTGATATTTTAAACACAATCAGTGTCCATTTTCAATATACTAGCACACAAACAATCACACCCAATGCAGTTATTGCTTAAAAGCAGGGTATGTACATCCAGCGTGTACAAATTGATAAAAGAAAACAAAAAAGACATATTCGTGTGCGTAAATCTTTAAAAGATTTCACCAAGTTCTACTGGTGAGATAATAAATGCAAAACAAACATCAAGTGTTTCATTTCAACAGACATAAGAGCAGCAAAGCAAGCATGTACGTTACACCCACATTCCTTGTTAACATGCCCACATTGAATGACAAATGATACAGTCTCCATATAGTGACAATTATATCTGAATTATTCACATGTGCCTCTTTTGTCTGTACATTTACTTACAAATATGATATCAAATAAGGACCCTGCGAACAGCTTTGGTTCTACTCAGATTCCTTCCCACCCACCATTTCTTATAGCTATATAAGAGACTCTTATATCACGATATCAATGTAAAACTCAATCCTGAGTGCCAAAGCTGCTGTACTTTAGCACAACACTTCTGTAAGGAACTGATTTTTATTTTACAAATTATACATCTGCTTAAGCGGTCCCTCCCTTTTGATTCCTCTGGGTCTGAAAGTGGCCCCATAAGTGGCAAAGGCACTGGACAGATGAGGACAGCCGTTCTGGCCGGTTTAATTTAGAGTACCCTCTCTATCTGATTGGCAGCATTAAGTGACCACCACGACACGCTGTTCCTCAGTGGCCTCTGCAGCTTCTGCATCTACCCTGGGCTGGCCTCTCCTGGTTGCTCGCGTTTCCTGGGGAGAGGTCAGGGTGAGCAGGGCGCAGAGGGCTGCAGGGGACGGGTTTGGGAGGGAGGGCAATCAGACCTGGAGCTCATCATAGCAATTGTCACACACTCGGAGAGGCTTTTTGGAGGAGGGTGTCAGGGCGTTGCGGGCAGAGCACTCCGCACAGAAGATGTTGCCGCAGTGTCGACAGTGGTGCTGGGGGAATAGAGAGACACAGGGGTCATGATTCAGGTCAGGTGGTTAAGTTAGGTTAATGTCACACTGATAGATAGAATGGAATGGATGTGACAGATGCTTGGATTGTTTGGGCTGGGTATTGGCACGGATTCGATTATAAAGATTTGATTCACACTTCCATTTGGAGAAATTCTGGTTCAGATATTTCTGGCTCAAACAACTTTGTGACTTTTGATGCACATTTTGGAAACTTTATTTATGCATCTTATGTGTTTCCATCCATGTATTTTTATGTAAATAGAAATAGAATTTCCTTAATGCAGATAAAAATGTATCACAAAAAATGGGATGGGAGGCACACTACAAAAAATAATAATAAAAAAACATGTTTAATATTATATTAGCTTATTTTAGATTAGTAAGCGAAGCATTATTTGTAGCATGTCTCCTAACCCTCCTGTCCTGCAGATCAGGCGTTTATGTCAATAATGAAAATAATAATAATGTTATTATTATTATTATTATATTAACATTATTACTATTATGTGGAGCATTATTTGTAGTGTGCAATCTGTCCTGCAGGTCAGGCATTTTTGTGAATAAATAACAATCATAACTATAATAATAACATTATTATTATCATTACTAATATTTTTATTAGTATTATTATTATAATGAAGCATTATTTGTAGTGTGCCTTCTGTCCTGCAGGTCAGACATTGTGAATGAATTAATTAATGAATGAATGAATGAATATTATTATTATTTGTATATGCATCCACTGTAAAATATTGATGTTTTAAGAATTGATTAGATCATTCAAATGAAGATTACTCAAAAAAAATGAATACTTCACAATGTTACACTGGGAATCCTTTTTATAAATAATAAAATATAAATATGACAGAAGATATGATATGGATGTAAGAATGACTCATTGCCAATGACTTCCTGAGAACATCAAACAGACGCTTTTGTTGGTGGAACGTGCTTTGATGCACCATGTCATGTGATCACAGTCCTTTGAACGCAGGCGCACGGATCAGTAGGTTAGATCATTAACATTGTATTGATCTCATACTTTGATCCATTCAAGCAGCTGCCTCATCAAATAAGAATGTGAGCGTGTGTGTAGGCATGATGCAGACCTTTCTGACAGTGACAGAGAAGCCCTTCCCACAAGCCATACAGTTCTGCACCTCGTGATCTTCCGCCCACTTTCGTGTGAGAGACTGCGACTGCTTTATCTGGAACAGGAAGAAGGGGCCACATTTGACTAAAAACTGAAGTTTACTTGGCTAGAGATGCAAAACAACACCAAAACTGAATTGTAAGGTCAGTAATCTCAGTATGTCTGGTGTTGGCGTCAGCCTGACCTGTAAGGACTGGTTCTCCCGGCCAAGCTCCTGCATGGCGGCTGTAGTGTCATCCAGCTTCCTGCGCATCTCCACCAACTTAGCCTGAAGCTTCTCGATCTCACCTTCACCCTGGACACACCTGGAAAAGGATCAAATTGAAAGTGATCATCACTTTTTCTGTTTATTTATGCCCAAATTGGTCTAGAGCCATCAAACCTCTCCAGCAGTGCGCGTCTCTCGTCCTGGTTGTTCTGAACGGTGGCCTCCAAAACAGCGATCTCCCCTCTCAGTTCATCCGTCTGTTT